CTCAGTGCCACCGAGAGCAGTTCTATTTTATGAATAGATGAATGACCACTCCAGTGATTAGCCGTGAATAATAATAGTAATAATCGGTATCGAACGAACAGCGGCAATGTTTGAGGACGGAATGGGTTGTTTCCTGGCTGACTATCTCCTTCTAAAACCCACGATTCCGATTATAACAATTTTTCATGTGCGAGTTTTTCCCGCCACTGATAAGGCCAAGCCCCCGGCTCCACCAAGGGTAGTATGGCAAGTCAATGAGAGAAGCGTGTGAGCAAAACATTGGCCGCTTATCATGCGTACCTTGAATCTCAGTCCGGAAATTATTTGAACCACTGATGTGGTCATCGCCTAGCATAAACCATACTATCTAACTGTCCTTATATTTGCTGTTTGGATGTGCAAGGGTCAGAGGTTCAGACTAACAAAAACCAAACCATGCTAGTGACTCGATTCCGTACCACATTCCAAAGCCACACAATGAATTATGATAGCACTATGACTCCTATACATGTTACAGCGTCCCCAGGAAGTGATCTGCCTTGTCTTTCTTCCCCCAGTGGCGGGGGAGTCCAATAAGCTAGACGTAAAGCTAATCACTACAGAGGCCCTCAACGCTGTCTGCTGAAAAGTCAGAGCTCTTCCAGACAAGGGAATTTAATGTATTACTGCGCGCTCTCAGTACGACTACTAGGTGGACAAAGTAATGCGACTCCCTTATTCTCCTAGTCCGGCGTATGAGGAATTAGACACTCTCACGTTAGCTACAACTCTATCGATCAACTCCCTACCAAAGATGATTTCTGTGACTAGCATCAAACTTTTGTCAGTAGCACCCTAAGACTCATCTTTTTTCGTCGTAGGCGAGGGGAATGACCGCCCTGTACCATTGGATGATAAAACCCGGCATATCCCCTATTGAGGTTTGATCTTGTTAGTCGATGCGAGAAGGCCGAATGACACGTCTTGTGACTCTAATCGGTTGGCTATTTTGAACATTTTTTCAGCAACCGAGGAAGCTTGCTGATGTGATATTAGAACAATGAAAGAACATCCCATCTGATTGACCATATTCTATTTCGCACTAGTCGGACACCAGGGACGGACAATTGTCAAGCCAATCGCGGTGCAAGACTGTGAATGCAAATTTACCGAGCATACCCTCTGAAGCGCTGGATTTAATATTTGTCTGAAAACTCTAAAACATATCTCGCCTCATGACTAGAATCAATGTTGCTTTACTCATAAACTAAGAAAGAGCGCAGATCCTGTCAGACGAAATAGTTCTCGCAACAACATGCGGGACAACGATTTATTGGACTGGAAATCAACAGTAATTTAGGTATACATCCAGGAAGCTACTCGGAAACATCTAAGGAAGGCGAAGAAACATCATAGAAAAGGAATATCATAATTAACACTTGAGCTAAAGTATGAGTCAAGAAAGACGCTACTCCGCAAGTCCCCGAAATACCAAACTCTTTGATGCAAAGCTCTTTGTTCCACCAAAATTGACCGGGAGAAATATTGGTCAGAATTCGCAGCCAAGATGGAGGCCATCGCAGACGTCGGAAACTTCGAAAAGATCTTCCGCATCGACCTTCCAAGACGAAAGCCATTTCCAGCACAACATACAATCTTTACCAATGGGGAGCAAGTTGTATTCGTTCAGTCTTTCGAATGTCTCCATCCAACCCAAACGACAAATCGAGTGTAAACTCCAGCTACCCGTCGAGGTTGGTTGAAGGGCTTTTCAATCATTCCGTCGAACATTATAGTCAAGCATCGAGAACAGTCTCCATAATATGGTGCGGGTCTAAGAAAAGCCGCTCACCCTTTCCTGAACTACGGTTGTAAGACGTTAACAACAGGAGTCTAAGAACTTCAAAGATTTGAGTTTTTCGATCAATGGGGTCTGCGCTGCATCTTGAAAGCAAAGTGGCACGACTGATTGCTTAACACGGAGGTTCGTCTCTGTTGCTGTTCTATTGAACATCTTTCTAAACCGTTGTTACACCGTCGTCTCTAGTGGTTTGGTCATGTTTCTCATCTTCCCGTTAACGAGCTTTCCAGAATAGCCCCCCCCCGTCCCAAGGTAGTTTTTTGGTGGGCGCTGTGTCCAAGGTGGGCAGTTGGAGAAGCACCGCAATCGAAGGAAGCATGGAGCATTTCGGTTTGGAAGCTTTGGATAGCTTCCTAAGCTGAAATCATAAATGTGTTCCACCGTGCGCTGAATTCACGATGCACGCTGTTCATGGGCATCAATCGTGCGCGACAAAATTGATGCATACTAGTCTCTCAGCTGGAGTTGGTTGTATAACAGTAAAACTAAAGTAAGTGTCCGCAAACACGAAGGCTCTATGAAACTCTTTGTGACATTGGTTACGCTATTGTTTTTCACTAATTCAAAGTGGTGTCTGTGGGTAACTCATCCTCACAGAGTTAGGTACATGAAAGCAGATGTTTCAACAGAATATTTTTTAACAAGTTTCCTCCAATACTTCTGATTTGATTCATAGATTACCGACTGAATTATTTCCAAATGCAAGACCAGCTAGAAATAAACACGGGCAATGCATATAAGATTAAACGATTGCAGTTTCAGATGCCGATATTAGTGTTCCACGCTTTTCCGAGTTTTAACTTTTATTAGCAAACAATTCGTAGCTGGGCTAAGGAACATCTTCAGTGCGAATTCGGTGAAGAGCCAGTGTAACCACGGTTATATAGTTATCTTGGAAGGTGTTGATTGAATGTTTCGTTACTTTCGTCCCATTCACCAACGTCATCTGTTTACTGCTCTTTGACTGACTAGTTTGTTGTCGTGGTAACCTACCTCTCCCTCTTTTTTCATCGGTCGATTCACTCTCTTGAAACAACGAAAAACCGGTTCCAATCGATTTCAAACTGCTTTTAACCGGTTCTGAGGCATTTACGGACGAAGCAGCTTCAGCTCAGAAATGTTTTCTTACGTCTCCGGCCTGCTTTCATAGTCTGAATGGCCCCACAGAGCACGTTTAAAATTAAAAAAAAACAGAGTGATAAACAAGATCATTTACAGTGGTTCTTAGTCATGCCAATATTTTATACATACAATACAATAAAACTATCTAGGAAAGAAATCATTGCATCACAGATTGATATGATTCATTTCATCATAAAGACTGGAAGTCAAATTCACAATGATCACATACATGTTCGTTCACTGATCCGCGATCATCAAGATTAGTCGGGATATGGGATTTTGGTAGGGTGAGGCAAGGAAAGTTAAGCGCCTACCCCAAAAACATTTGTGCCATTCTGTTTGCTTTGTTAGATGCCGTGATATATGGGCTCTAGCTATATATGCTTGTTTGAACTGTTGCCTCCGGAGTTCCATCGTTTGATGAACTCTTTCATTGACTTCCGATTGTTTTGCATCGTAAAGTTCGAAGATGTGAGTTTCGGTATCCATATGAATTGAAATTTGCGACTTCGTTTCATGTCTTTAACCGTCAGCGTGTGTTCATATAGTTGTCTAAAGTTTTCCACTGATTTGTCCGACGTCGTATATCTCGCCATTTTGACACTGATTTTTAAATATTGCTTGTGGAGTCCGCTTTTAACAGTTGATCTGCTTGGCTCTGATAGGTTGGTTTCTACTATCACCATTATCTTGTGTGTGATGCTCGTATTTTTCTGCTGCGAATGCGAAAAGTTCATAGATATAGGGTACTATCGCAGTTTTTATTGTGGACCGTTCTTCTGGTTCCCCGCTTGTGGCTTCCTTCGGTGGCGACAGTTTCACCTTCTCCTTCTGGAGAGTTCTGTGACGAGATGCCAGAGAACATGGCCAAAACAATGGAGATGACGGTATTTTCACTGTGGGAAAAGCTCCTAAATGGAACAGCAGGTCGGCTGAACTGGACACAATCAGCTAATAAACACCTATCATGCTGAATATGAATAGTCCAGTTGGAACCAGGTAGATGGATAATGAGAAAGACTTAATATGTCCTCAAATTCCAATTGGATGGCCTGCACCTACCTTTCTTATTTTTGCAAGCTGTTTCTGATCCCACAAAGATTGCCGAGTGCGCCGAATGAAACTGTTTCTACCGTTGACAACGTTTGAAAATTGGGTTGTTCTGAAAACATTACGTTGATCAATGTATAAAACAAATTGGTGCCATACTAATCACATTTGGTTCAAGCGACTATTTTAATAGAGTGACTTAATCCTCAAACCCTACCCGTTAGTCTGTGTGGTGGTACATGAGTTGTTACTTGATTGCAGTCAATTCTGAAATATCACGCATGATGTGGCTCATTCTTTAAATGGTATTGCCCATAAAGTCACTCAAAACAATTTTTAAATATCTCTCAGAGCAAATTCAGCGATCATTATAACAATACCAATATAAAGCGATTCAGGTAATGTATACGCACCTGAGCAGTTGACATGGGAATCACCTTAGTGAACACTGTCCACATCACGTTGGGAATGCACGGTGGGGTGGTCAGCGATCCCATGTATCGATAATACGCACCTGGATCGACTAGGTTCATTAGTTCGGACAAATTGAATGCGGGAATAAGTATAGGACTGTCCAGGTCAAGCACAGTTTGCAGTGTAGTGCCCAATTGACCCATCACGCCTATAAACGAATCGGCCAGTTTCACATCTGGCTTTTCCTGAACCCAGAACCCCAGTACAGCGACTCCATGTGGGCTGATTAAGGCGTTATCCAATGTGCCATAAATCTCACAGTTATGCATCACCAAGTGTGCCTGTGTGCAAAAAGGAAACAGAAAGGGAACAGGATATTTGAATTTCGGATTGGAGAATTGAGGAGTGATTTTTTCAGCGCTCCGTATTTCAACCAATTTTTTGTCACACTGGATTCATGTAAAGTGTCGACGAACGGGATAATTCGCTGTAGAACGGTTAAGATCACATGGATTCTCTATCATATCTATCTTAAACTGACCAGGTGCTCGCGGCATCTGGTAGTGGAGTGACAAAGTTGACACACCGGCCTAATACTGCTGGACAGCTACACATAGGCTATGATAAGACCAATGTAACACCATAAGACCAATTACGTGTATGAACTTCACTTTCTATCCATCGAAACACAGTATGATTTGTACAATGAACCACACACACCCTCCCCATGAAAGATAAGGAAATGGACACATTATTCTCCTACGAATTCTCACACTTCCGAATCTGACATAGTGCATTTCATCAATGATAGAGCAAATGAATCATTTGGGTTGAAACAATTCTAACCGAGTCATATCTTCGGACGGTTTTGCTGAGATGCGCGAGATTAAGTGAAGTTCACGAAAATACCAACCAATTGTTTCAAATTGGATGTTCCGTTCTTTATAATCTCGTTTGTCCCTATCATATGCTCATCATCCAACGAGCGGCTTATTCAGGGGCTTTCCATTGACATGTGGCATGTGGCTAATAGAAGCAAAGTCATAAGTGAGTATTTTAGTAGATATGTTGCATCTTATGTGAGGCAAATCATATTCCGTCCCGTGAATGAAGCTTGAAAAATGAAGCATTGAGAGGAAAACATGTGATGAAAATCAGGGCGTTGCACGAGTTTGGTCAATACCTGCATGGAAACAGAATTTGGTAACACAGTTTGGTTCCAACATGACGGTGCACCACCGCACGCTGCTCTGGTGTTGAGGGGTTTCCTCGATTCGGAACGTAACTGCCGACGGATTGTCAACGGAGGACCAGAATGATGGCCTCCAAGATCAACTTATCTGTCTCCCTTGGATTTCTTTCTGTGGGCATCTATAAAGTAAATTAATTTTTCCCCGAAAATGGAAAAGGATCGGGGAGCTAAAACGGAGTATCTTCGCGCTGTGCGAAAGGGTTACAATTGCTAATTTTCTGAAGATGGAAGAAAACTATCTTCGCCTCTTTTTGCGATGCAAGCAGAGGGGTGGAAAACATATTGAACAACTTTTATAAAATTTATGCGTAATGTTTGTTTCTTTTTCTTTCGTGATTTTTATCTCATCCGTAGTTAGCAGGATCTTTCAGCGCGAAAAAGCCAGTTAGTAAAACTCAAAGAAGAGTTTGGCGTTGGCCTATATTAGTGGATATTGCGGTCCATACATAAGACAAGTTTTATTATTATAATGATCCGTTTACCGAACGGGTTTAGGAAAATATTACGTGTATCTTACACAAGTCAAATGTTTACCCGTGTCTTCATCGCTTATACATTTTCCATTCCTTATTTCCCACATGGCGCATCGTTTCACAAATAATTCTCCTGTGATGATCCTCTACTAACACTAAAGCAGCATCGAATTCAGTAATTATCCGCCGCCCATGCCGGCCCGAAGATCACACGACTGATTGGGTTCATTTATCGATCGTTCGGATAGTGCAGCGGCAACAAGGGACCTGGTGCTGGCCCAGCTAACCCGAGCGAGAAACCACACCTTATTTACAGCCGCGAGTCTTAGACAGGCCCAGTGAACTTCAACTGTCCAGCAGACGTGCCTTCACCACACAGATGGACTGACTAAAAGTGACAGCAGGAGCATCATAAAAGTGCAAAACAATGTGAAACGACGAAGTAATCGCACTGTCGTACTATCCACATAGCAACATGACATCTTAAATTGATACTCGGACATCCTAAATTCACGTTGTGACATCTTAAATTGATATTCAGACGTATTCCATTGCAAAAGGTAAAGAGAATGATCCTTTCTTATCCAGGCAAATATTTCCTGCATCTAAAATGAACATGATAAATGTTCAAATTAAGGCATATTTAGACAGATGGTGGGAGATCCATTTCGTGTGAGGATTTTTATAGCGAAGAGCAAGTGAAGAGATTGATGTATACAGATGGGAACACCATTCGAAGGAAAGCGGTTTGTCTAAAAGTCAGCATGCGGCTGTGATACTTAATCGACGATGCCTCATGTCAATGGAAAGCCCCTGAATAAGCCGCTCGTTGGATGATGAGCATATGATAGGGACAAACGGGATTATAAAGAACGGAACATCCAATTTGAAACAATTGGTTGGCATTTTCGTGAACTTCACTTAATCTCGCGCATCTCAGCAAAACCGTCCGAAGATATGACTCGGTTAGAATTGTTTCAACCCAAATGATTCATTTGCTCTATCATCGATGAAATGTCTGAATCAAACGCTCCACTCCACTGAGATAAACAGCCTGGTTTCAAACTAGTGATTAGATGAGCGAGGTTGGATGCCGCAGCAATCTTGCAACTATGGTTTGTGCGAAGTAGCAGCAAGACAAAATGAGGGTACAGTCTGATCAGTTGTCCGTTAGTGGTCAAGTTTTGAGTATGCTTGCCTTTGGTCTGTGAGGGCCCGGGTTCGTCCTCCCTAGTTTGGTCGAGTCTTTCGCAATGCTCAGACTCAAGCTGGTCGAAACAGTTATCGAATACTTGACAACTCTTCAATGCACACAGTTCAATTGCTCTGAAGAAGGCGAAATCCACAATAGAAATAAATCATATCCCTCACTTCTATCATATTACTGTTTGATTGGTATTGTGAAATTCAACTGTATCAAATAGAGGACTACTGTCAATAAGTAGGTAAACAAGTTCACATGGAAATATTTCGAACACACGAAATTAAAAACAACAGGTTAAAAGCCTGTGGAAAATTCACCAAAGGGAAAGATGCAAAATAATAAATTTAGTTTACATTCTTTTTGGTCATGAACTCGAGAACATTCAGTACCACTGGGAGAATGGTCTAATAAAAAGCAAGTGGGAAGTGAACTCGAGAGCTAGGACGCACACTGGATAGCTGTTTCAACCCGGTTGGGACTTGCCAACATTGTGAATTTACTGCGCCAACTGGGGATCGAACCCGGGACAACACACTGGCAGTATGTAAGCATACTACTCACTCGGCCACCGGGCAGCTGACCAGACCGGATCTTATGTTCCATTTACTCTCGAGCAGTATTCAATGCAAATACCTCCATTGTAAATGAATCCCTTCACACTTCTACTGTCCCCGACTGTTGAAGGCCGGTCACAATTATACCAATCCCCAAAGCATCCAAATCTATCCTCTCCAAACGTCTTCGTTCCGTAGCATTAACATCTTCAGCTCTTAAATTGACTGAAAAAGCCATCCTCAAACGCTTTCGGTAGTCCATAAACATTCCCAGTGATCCGTTACAGTTTGCTTACAAGCCAAATAGATCCACCCTGGACGCAGTCTCTACCCTGATTCATTTCATCACTAAATCGTTGAACAGCTCTGTTAAGTCTGTTCGGTGTTTTTCTCAACTACTCTTCTGCATTTGATTTCATTCCTCGATCTAAGTTGTTACAAAAACTGGAGTCGTTTGAATGCCCCAAGCAGTTGTTAGCTTGGCTATCCAACTATTTTACCGATAGGGTACAAACCACTAGATTGGGGAGGGCCATATTGAAACCCTTAGTCAACAACTCCGGGGTCCCTCAAGGAGCGGTGCTATCCCCATACTTATTTGCCACTTATATTTGTGATATTCCCTGTGTTTCTCCCGCATGTATTTTGAAATATGCAGATGATGTCGTGTTGTGCCAACCAATTTCTTCTTACTCTGATCTAAGTTCTTTCACCGATAATCATTCTCCTCCTCATCGAGGCTAACCCTAAACCCCAGTAAATGTATTGAATGTTTATATAGTTTTGCTGGCTCCCCATGTCCGACAGATCCCACAGGGAATAATAACAATCCTTTATCCAGGGTGAACTCTGCCAAATATCTTGGGGTAACCATAGATACCAATCTTCATTGATCAACTCACATCCACAACTGCACTGGTAAACCGCGACGCCTTTAATTTCAAATACGAAAGCTCAGGAAGTTTCGCGCATCCCAGTCATTTATTTCTACTTTTGTTTATCAATGTGTTTTCCCCATCTTACTCTACTATTCCCCGGTTATTTTTCCCGCTTTACTCAAACAGGATTTCAAAGTCTTATGTCGCGGTTTAACCATTATTAGTCGTGTCTCTTCTATTCCTGTGAATGAATTAGCTGTAAAGCTTTCAGAGTATCACGTACCTTCCTGTATAAAATTTGCCGAGAGTATTCTCACAGATCCTGACCACCCATTGCATGCAGAACTGACACTTTGTCGTTCTCAACATTCCACACGCTCCCGATTCCGCCAAATTTCATCTCCAATTAATTCATACCGCAATTCACCAACACCGTATCTCGCTCGTCTACTCATAAACAAAGAGAGGAGAATAAGTGAACTTTGTCTTAACCTTGGATTATGAAACGTCCTCATGCCTGTAAAACNTTCCGTTGATTATGTACATTGTGACGGTTAGCGTGTATGCTTTTTTAACTGAAATGTGATCTCCAGTGCTTGCAAAAGTTGTACACAATAAAATACAATGCAATAAGAACTCGAGGTTGAATAGTCATTGCGTTTGGGAACAACGATGTAATTGTGTCACGGAAGCAGATTCGGCAGTGTGAGAATCCGAAGAAGAACAATGTGTCCATTTGTTTATCCTTTATCGGAGGGGGGGGTCATTGTACAAATCGTTCACTTCTGACTCAGTGATGGATGAAGTACTTTAGTTCGCCATGTCAATTTACATATTTTGAAGCACACGGAATATGCGGTCCGTTGTCGTAAAGGTGTCAGATGGTGTTCATGCTGGAATTAAGGGCATAGGGGTGTGATATAACCCCAGTGTCCTTGTTAAAAGGGTTTGTGTCTAAGATGACATTATTCTCGCCCACTCCACACACACCCTATAGATCTCGATGCGGTTTGCTGATAAGGTTGAAACGAATACACGTTCACTGTCTGACTCTCTTTAGTCCGTTTTTGGTCACTGGGTGATGTTTGGGCAGACAGATGTCACCTTCCCATACCACTCACTTCCGAAGCACTCAATATGGTTTGCATTTACGGCTTCTTTGCGGGTGTACAACTGTGTGGATAATATTCTAAGCCGGAGCCCTTGGACCACCTTTATAGAGACGAGATTTTGAGCTCTTTTTCGACACAGGGATGACTTAAGCTACTCTTTAGCATTTAGGCTCTGAGCACCTTGAAAGTGAAAGCTACGTTTGGATGCCTCGACTGAGACAGCATGATCCCAAATGAATCGCGAAATCCAAGATCCGCTATCACAACGAGTTGTTTTAATATATTTTTCCGTTTAGGGAATTGAATGAAGTCATTTAATTTAAAATTAGTGTTTTTTTTGTGTTCCATTCTTCATACTATTTTGGTAACTTATCAGTTTCAGGCTGATAACACAATAGTATTTCTAAAATATGTTGATCACTAATATGGAAATGAACGCAAAAGCTTATCAGGAACATGTGACCGGTTTTGCGTTTCTCGCTTATCCGCTCATCCCGTCATGTACATCTGACATTTATTTGTGTTGTCCTTTCGTATCGAATCAAACCAATTCAATTATTTTATTCATTGATTCATTTGGCAAGGTATTTATTCCATGCATTATTTCGAACTCAATGGACATCATTCGGATGGTAAATTTTTGTTGACATCTCGTCTCCCTGTTTTATTTGCCTTAGGCAATTTTCTGAACTACCGCGTTGGTGGCTACAACTCAGCCGATGGAACAAATTGGGTGAGTCCTGTTTGCATTCACTTTCGTTTTGCTGCTGGAATTTTCTTCAAATGTCTGGATTGGGTACCGATATGTGCCGGGTTTATCTTGACATTTCTGTGGTCTCCTAATATGTGCAGAGCTACAACCTCTCCCAGGAAAGTTCTGTTGAGCCTTGTCGCATGATTTGAAGTACGAGGTGTTTACTAAGCCTAGATCAGGCGAAACTTCAGAAATTGACTTCAAAGGTTAATGCTCCATTTCCGCTAACAATCTCTACCAAAAATTTAGCACTCCGATCCGTTGCGAGAAGTACTTACATCAACATGATATTCTACTTTAGATGTTCTCACTCTAACGTCAAAGCGCTCAGGAATCTTTGGTGCGGTGAGCTGTCGATCGGAATAAAGATATCAAGTGCTTCAGTTGGCAACCTAAAAACAATGCAATCGGAGGCTTCCCTTCCGGAGTAGATTGGTTCGGTCAGAAAATCATCAATTGACCGTTGAAAACTCCCTGCGTCGTTTGAGGTGATTAGAGAACATTTGAATGTGCCAACTAATCGTTCTGCTGGACCTATAGAAAGCAAACAGTGAACGCCATCTAACGCACAAAATGGAGCAAAATGTGAGGACCCAAATTTTCGGCCTGTTTCTGATAACGATTTCAGGCCTATACAAGTTAGCCGTTGAGGAGGTTGGGATTACCAAATGCACTAAAAAACCTTGGGCAGATTTTCATCTTTGCAAACAAATGCTTGGGTATCTGTAATGTCTTGCCAAGACGTATGATCGATACATGCACCTCTTGACTTATCCCCAAGAAGTGTAGTGAGAACACGGCTCAGAAAAAGACAGTCAGGGTATATCATTGATAGTGAAGAAATACGCAAATTAAGGTGGTAAATTAGACTTACGAGAAACGACGTGATGACGCACTAATCGGGTTGCGATCTTGATGCTCCGATTGATCGGTTGGACGACAGCTGTCTGATTCGCCTTGATCATCCAATCCGGAATTTATTTAACTTGAGCGTCACGGACGTACTTGTGGTGTGACGCGGGTCGGTGCGTGACCTGATAGGTTCGGTATGCTGCGTCCTGGCAGCATAAGACTTCTTTCACGAGCACACAACATCCATGTCATGAAAGAACCACGGGATCAGTGGGGACTGTCTCGGTATTCGGTTTCGATGCAAGTGAACACTTGTGACAAGCTTCTATCAAGCGTTCCATTTTTTGATTTATGAATGATTATTAGGCAGCATTTCCAGTATATATATCCTACTGCTGATTTTAGGGTGGCTATGTTGGCACTGTTTTAGTATCACTGACTTGCTCGCTGGTCATAAAACGTCCATGCGTAACAGGAAAGCGTTGCGACATTTCGAAAATCCCTGGTAGTGGTAACCGCCGAACTGCACATTGAATCTTTAAAAAGGTACTGAAAACTTATCGGTAGCAGTTGCACTACTACTACCACTAAACCTTTTCCCATGAAGCTTTAGAGAACCATAGCAGTCCTTTAGCTTTAACCCGTAATCCCTCAACTAAAACCCAAAATGCTTTAGCCTAGACGCACAAACCTTATTCACGCCACAGTAGGGCCTTCAGATCAAAAAGTTTCAGGAAATGTTCAATTAAACGGATGTTCAAAAAAATTCTGTTTTACAAATGTGGACGTTGCAAGGCTTGGTTAAGGAATAAGGTTTGAGGGTCGCACGCTGCACCACATGTTGCCTGGAGAAGGTTTAACCAATGTGCCCGTATCACCAAACCATTTGACACGTCTAGTACCTTTACAGTGTTTTCGTGTAATGTGCTATAGTCCGGTGAGTGGAACTCTCAAGTGTAACACAAAGGGTATATTGTTGAGCATTCACAAGTGTACTAAGTTCATGAAAAGTGTATTCCTGACCATACGGAGGATATTAATCACCGCTCACACGAATACACCTCCATCTGCATCAGGGACATGATTGGCATGATCAGCTACTGGTTTGTATGGGGTGTTGGTGCATTCAATATGTGTCGGCTTTAAGGAGGCGTCAATTAATATGGCAATATAGCAAGATTTCAACCAGTATTTGTTCGGGTGCGTCAAGCACACTAAACATTACCACGCACGTAACTATCACTACTCACCTCAAACGAAAACGAGTTTCCGTCCAGTGTGTGTTCAGATCCGAGTGTGCCGTTTGCTCCCCAGTGAAAGTGTAACTCGGTTACACAGTACATACCGGAAGTGTCGTTCTCCAGAGCCACTTTCCAAAGTCCCTCGGGGAATGTCATTTCCACTGCACTCGGAGATGAACAGAAGAAGGAAATTAACGACCAGTAAATTTCACACCCCGTGTATATTATTATAGCGTTCTGCTAATCAAATTATCGGAGTGTGGTTTATCTTACCGATCAACCATTTAAGGATTGGTTTGAGGGAGCACATTACCCGGCAATACCCCATGCGAATTTCTTTAGTGTAACTTCTTTCTAGAACCTAAAACTTTCAAAAAGATGAGATCATTGTTTTAGAATTTTTGAAATCAATATCTTGTTATTAACGTTTTATGTAAGGGAGTGTAATTTAGTGACCTTTATTTTATTTTTTACCTCGAGAACATGTCGGTAGGTTCAACTAAGTATCGGATCTAACATGATTTTCAAGTTGAGGCCTGCGTTGAGCACAGACAAGACCGTGGCTTGTTGCCAAAGGAACGTACGTGCACTTGTGGCCGTATTATGCGTATTCTTGGATTTGCACGCAGCCGGGATGATTTTGTGTTCCGGTATACGACGCGCAAAAAGAAAATATCGATTCATTCAGGGACATTTTCTGAAAGACTTAGCTGCAATTACCCAACCTAATGAAATAAATCATTCATTGTATTACGAAGGATGTGTTGGTGATGTTATTTGGGAACATATGGATGAAGTCCATGATGGAATGTGGTTTGAGTTTGCCGGACAGACATAAATGAAAGACACTCATGCTTATGTACGAAATACTACACAATAGAATTCTTTAACTCGATACAATTTCCTACACAAACTAAACAACTGATCTCTAGCATTTGTGATGGATTCTTATCTCTCATTCGTTGTACTACTCGTAAGTAGCATGATCATACTTGCACACTCTCGCCCGTGGGGTGCCGGTGGGGTACATGAACCGATTTGAGAAACCGGTATATTGCATTGAAAAAGAAACTGTGTAGTTGGATCCTCTGCCGTTCAGAACACCTCACTGGTCAATTGGTCACATGATTTCCCACAATCAAATTGTTCATCTGTCTTCCCACGCTCTTTTTGTGTTGAAATGAGATGGAAATCAGCCTTTCATCTTGTCGAGTACACCCACGGACGTCGATTCGGTGGGTCAGTGATGTCGTGCAATTTACGCGAGACATCTAAGTGGACCCGACTCGAAAAGCACGAAGGTTGACGGAATGTTGCGTGCACACTACAGCTGAGGCACAATTGGTCGTAGTTGACCCCATCCTCGCTGCAGGCCCATATAATGCTCAAGCGATGTCGAATGACCAGAAAGTCGCACTGATTTGTTGAAGTGTGACGAAAACCGCTGTGAGACGTGCCTCAGTTACAAACGTCCCAATTCCTATGACATAACTCAGTTTTTAACCTTAACAATATGCGTAGTGGATTAAATAATTTTATGTGGATGATTGACTGTTTACCTCTGTTTATCTTAAGGGCTTCCACAAGAATTTGCGCTGGATCCCCTACTTTCCCTCACATTTAAAATTTTCCAGGTGTTCGGGGACAGGTTAGATTGTTTCGATCTTTTCTCTAGGAACGGTGTACAGTTTGGGGACAGACGCTGAGAAACTTTATTGTAGATTGCTCGTAGAGTCTACCACAGGATAGGATCTTAAGCTCTAAACGTATTAGCTTGCATCGGTACGATATTAGTCGACTTCAAAAAGCAGTTGTATATATTACCAATCTGAATGTACGCAGAAGTAACTCATAAAGGAGATTTTCTAGTTCAGTCAACTATTCTGGTTTCTGTTTTTCCCAAACAGTATCTTGTCGCAAGGATCTATTTGTATGGGTAGAAAATTATCCAAACAAGAATTAGTCACAAGACGGTAAGTGAAGCGAACTGGAAACTATGAGGGATATTGACCTGCCTATCGCCGCAGTAATGTTAACTTGTAATTGGTGAACCCCCTCTCAGTCCTTTGCAAGTTAATCAAACTTAGATAGGCATTTAGGTAGCTTAGGCAAGGTCGAGGTTCAATGTGAATTACTCCAAATCGTGTAGATTACCATCGGCTTGAATCAGAAGCCATATGTTCAACAGGTACAAATATACCTTGCGTTTTTCGATATTTTGTTGCCTGTTCTCAGTCTTTGTTTTCCGAGGCCCCCAGTTTCGGAAAGTGATTATGCGTTGATGTACCTAACTTTGGAAAGTACCTAAATTAATAAAAATGTTTTTTTTGTTGATTTCTTGTTCTTTTATATGTATTTCCCCAGTTTGTTTTTTGTGAGTTACGTTTGTCATGATGAAAAATGGTATTTTTAGACTGAAACAAACGCCCTTAATGACAACTTCGATGTTTTACTGTTGTTCATATATGTCTTTTCAGTCCATTCAGTTATCTGAAAGCAGTCTCAGCAAGACCCTGGAGATGCGAGCTTTTTATCCAGGTATAACCCCTCACTGGTGTATATAGCCCCGAGGAGTTGGAGTTTGGTACGCCGGACCCCTCACATTGAAGGTTTGTATGTTATCACTATGTATGTTTCATTGATTGAATGGACGCATGTGATTACGGTTGACCAAAAGGCATATCTTTCATTTCACCTATCTGCTATTACTTGTATGTGAATTATGTTGACACGGGATCAGTAAACCTTTTGACTCACATTTCAGCCCAACACAATCATGTGATTATGCAGTCTTGTGAAACTGATGTGAAAGCGAGTGAATTAAAAAGAACTAGATAATTGGCTGAGCAATCCCTTCATGGTTTGTTTCGTTTCTGCTCACAAAATACATAAGTTGAGTTAGGAATGGCACACCGTGTGTACGAAGGAGAATGAGTATTGGCACGGGATCGACAGAATTCAGGACAGTTAGTGCGTACGGATTGGGTATCTTCATGGACGTTTTGTAAGTACAAGTGTGCATAACGACATAATTTATCAACTAATTCCTAAAGAGTGATAGCCAATACACCACTGATCGTGACCACGGGTTTTTTAACCGACAGTCAGCCTTACTAGTGTTGTGGGTAAAGTAATGGAGCGACTGGTGGCTGCATTTGGTGTGTCACGATCGCCTGTGCCACCAAAAACAGTTTCCGGTCGAGTCGCTGATGCCTCTCAAACCTGTTACTTACTAGCCCATGAGTGCTGGAACGAGGACAAGGCCCAAGGACAGAAAACATACATCATCTTCGTGGACTTCAGTAAGGCATTCAACAAAGTGCCACACGACCGCCTTCTGCGAAAGCTTTCCAACCTGGGTTTGGGGTTTGGTCATACTGAATCGGCTGCGACACTTCCTCGTCCACCGGAAATTCTACGTCTGTGCAAGCATCTCTCTATCTACGTAGTATTCCGCCTCCATTAGAGTCTCCCAAGAATCGGTTCTTGGTCCATTGCCTTTTGTGGTTTACGTGAATGACCTGCCCGGTCAACTGTGCAGCCCATCCCTCATGTATGCGGATGATATCAAAATCTGCACTTGGGGCGTGCTGACTCAGAAGTAGTGTACTACTTCCAGGTAACCACATTGCACAGAAAATTGTGCGAACGAGATCTGGGTGTTATGGTTGCGTCATCACTAAAGACCTGAGAAAACACCGATGGGGTCTGTGCCAGCGCGTGGAGCATTCTGGGGCCTATTCAGTGGTAGTACAATCGGCTCATGATGGACACTTTCAGACTGCTGTACGCTTCCCATGTCAGACCGAGACTTAAGTATGGTGGTGCGGCGACATACCTCTGCACGGCCGGTGAACTAGCTAAGTTGGAGCGTGTACAACTTGCACTCTCTCAGGTTACGGAGACGTCAGTCAGTTGGTCTTCCATTAGTCTACCAACTCTCGCGGAGGTTAACAACGCTCTGGAATTCCCTTCCAGCGACCGTGATGGAGAAGAAGACAGACGCTACTTTCAAGTGGCTTCTTGATAAGCACCTGAAGAGGCTATGAAAGAGCTAACACTTGTAATCAGACCTTGGACCCAGCGGTGATGGGGCTTACACGGGTACCCTGCTCTCTGTCCTCAATACTGAAGGCTGACTGTTGATGCTCTCAAGAATATTGGCCGAAGAAGAACAGTAAGTCAGTGAAAGCGGGCAAAGTAACTTTTGATTTTCTAATGCTTTACTCATACTTATTCCAATATGCGTCAGGTAAACAGTGTACGTCTCCAAAGCAGCACTTTATGTACTGGGTCCGGAGTTTCAATCCCTGAGAAGACGTTGAAAATGCATTACTGACGAGCTCTAATGAGAACGAAATTCGAGTTTTGCTGATTCACGAGTCAGTGATTGGATAAGTAAACAGGACTGTACGTAATGCTGGAGGACTAAGATGGTCAGTCCAATCAGTATCGCTCTGTGTCAGACCCAATGAAGGAAGCTTTGTTTAGCAACACCGATATAAGGGAGCTGGCACACGGAGTATAAGTTCGCAAAATCCATTGACGAAAAGCTCAGACCTTGCTTGACAGGTAGACAGGAAATTTATTTGGAGCAAGCGTTTATACCGCCCAGTGAATAAGCTTTCGTCAATCAAGAAACCCCTGTTATCGTACATGTGGCAAAGATCCTCCTGAAAATGAATGAATGAGGTAACCAACTGAAAATGGATCGAGATCATTTAACAGCAGAATAATCACACAAGCACACGAATCAAATAGACAAAAAAAACAATTCTGCATGTGTCCGCATGTCGAATAACGCACTGGAGTGATTGTCATTTCTGACCCGATACATTTGACGCTCCCAACTCTGAACATCTGCTCCAGCCATAATGCCAACTGGTTTCAAATTGGCATCGAATTGGGTTTCGCTGCGTACAATATCCACGGGAGATTGGAACGCACCGCCACACTGCTTGTAGTTTTTGCTCCACATACTTAGTCCGTCATCTTTGTTTGTGTACGACCATTCTGAATTCGGGAATAGGCAGTGTGAAAATTGTGGAAATGTAAGCAAATATTGTACAACCAACATCATCAACAGTGCCTGGTGCCTGTGAGAAACCAAGTGGGCTCATCCAAACATTCACCATCTAAATTGTACAACCATCTTTTTACACTGACTTTAGTTAGTATGAGGATGATTAAATAGTTACAAACAAGCTCCTTTTCACATTCACACAGTCCTACTGCTGGCTCCAAACGTGTGTGTTTGTGTTTGTGTGTGTGTGTGTACGCTCGCGTGTACGAGATCGATCACAGTGTTCAGGTGACAACAGCACACTCGTGTACGTGTGTGTTGNGAGTTTTCTCTGGGCACCACGGGGAACGCGGTGGGGTGTGGTTCATTAATCCCGAGTTCTCACGTCTTCGGTCGTGTCTAGGATCGCATGCCTCACTGGTCGTAGATCCACACATGAATATTTGATTGAGTCACAGAGGAGGAAATCGAAAAACCAACTCCGTTGTTCTTGATCTTGCCTAAATCAAATCTTGTATCTCGTTTAAGACGCACTTGCCACGCACTGGACTGAGGGAGTAGATTGAACAAGGTTCAAACAGATTGCGCTGGGCACTATCTCAACTGTTCCCGTTCTCATCCAAGTTAGGTGGTGTTCACGGACGCCATCGGATAAGCATCTGATCGTACGGCTCAGTTACCCAGTTCCATGGAATGAGGTGAATAAGCGCATACAGGAGGAGAGTTCAGAATATGACACTTTTTGCTCTATTCAAAACGTGCACGTGCTTATGGATAAGGATACGGTTTGTACTGGTGCAACGTAGAATTGTCTACTTCTCATGGTCTAATAATAACCGAAAACGAGCTTGTTCGCCACGTTGCTGTACTCAATGGATTCTGTGAGACTATAGTCAAATATAATGAAATATCTAAACAATAATTATCATAACAGTGAAATATTATTGATGAACGAATTCAATTTTGCAACATCAACAAGGTGATTTGGAAGTCCTGAGTTCGAATCTATCCACCATCATTCATATGTCATGTGTTTCCCTACTTACTTAGGTGGTTTTTTTATTGGTCGTGGCCCCCATCCTGAAAGGTGACTGCACATCTGCATATTCAATAAATAAAAAAGTAAGCAATAAAGGTATTTATGAATACTATTAAAGTTTATTCTATTTCTTAGAATGTTCCTAATCCAACATATACGTTGAATCTTAACTGCAGGATAAAATCGAATATGATGGGCGAAGTGGCAACATTATATATCATTTCGAAATACTGGATCGTGTGTGAAATTTCACTTGTAATCCCATTTATTTCACAAGTGAATATAAGTGTTGAGTCAATCTTAGGTGGATGTGATATCAACTTTTACCGCTTGATCACAAATGATAGATACATGCATTGCCAAATATAAAATTACACATCAACCTCCACTTAACCCCACCCAACCCCTAAAATCTGAGAAACCCAGTTACCAATTGGTTTTATAGAGCTGGCTATTTTTAAGTCAGCATTCGGATGCAGTTTTAGCGCCGTTAGTGAACCTAACTTCCAAATGCACATTCGACATTCGTATTGTGTAACCATGCTTGCTGGTGAATCTGATAATAATCACTGTGGCTGGTTTTTATCTGAGCTAAAAGAGCTCCCGGGTTAACTGAACTCACAAACCATTTTTGAAGTGGGTGGGGCATAGGCACAAATTAAAACTTATGATTCAGGTCAGGTTAGTTGCCACGGTTGTAACATATGCTTCCACACCCATCTCCCATGGGAGAGGTCTGCAGTTCTGAATCTCTAAATTTCGCGAATACGCACTAACGGTTAACTCCAAGGCGAGTAAAACTCGGGTCCGTAATGCCTGTGCAAGAGTTCAAGGCTGACTATAGACGAACTGAGTCTGAAGATGAAATCTGATAGTTGATCAATCACTATTAAAAAGACTGATTCCACACAACTGCCCTGAAGTAGCTGCCAGTCAAATTGAAGTCTCTCTGTGGAATATTAGCAACTTCGTATTCCGGAAAACAGTTGATTGGGTCGTGAAAATTGATATTTTAAGCAGTGTTCAGGAGGAGGGAGGAGAGCTTATGAACGCTCATGAAGTTTGGCGTGTTTATTTCAATTAACGACAAAACACCAACAGACAGTCAGACAAATAGCCGAAACCAAGTAGAGGTTCCGTAGTTTCGTTTATATGACATTTTTGCATGGTGATCATTTCGGCCGAAACAATTAGCAGAAATTTAATCTCGCTAATAGCAATTGTTTCGTGGTTGGATCATGGTGTAAAGAAGTGATTCCGACCAATAACATTTGCAGTTGCGGTTCGGGAGTATTCTTTTCATCGAGAACAGGATCTTTTTGGTCGAGTGTTTCCGGAAAAGTTCGAACATATTGTGACACATTAGATACAAAAGACTTGTTTTCTAGGGAGGTACATTTTTCCCCAGAAAGCTTGGTCAACCTATTCACTGAGGGGCAGTTACTGGCCACTTGATAAATGCTAGAAAAAGATTTTTACTCACTGATTGTCGCTTTGGCACCGAACAACCTTGTGAGAATCACCAAAACCACATTGATCCATGGGAGCGAGAACAACATTTCGGACCGCAAGAACAATTGAATCACTGGTTGTAAAACCTTATTCTGAGTGGGAACGGCAGGGGTGGGGTAGAGGTCAATGCAAAGCCGAAATTGTGACGCCTCAACAATCCATGCACGACCTTCAAGTAGTAACAACTGACGCAGTATACACGGAAAGTATTTTCAAGTAGCTTTAAACAAACATAATTCGTAAACATGAAAAAAGACAACACTGAGCGATCTTGATTTGAACTGACATTAGTTTGAACTTCACATGCAAGTTCACTTTTCAATTCATCCAGTCAATCATCACTCGGAAGGACTGAAATCGAGTTTCGCTCTTATTAGAGCTCATCAATAGTGCATATCCACCGTTCCATCCGGGATCTAAACTCCGTGTCCACTGTGCCAACCAGTTCATACCTATGCTGAACCGAAGGGCCAATTCATGTTTGTTCAGGTGTAGCCTTCAGAGATGGTTAGTCAACTAGTCTTAATAGATAGTCCATTGTATCTACCTTCGCCGCTGTCGGGATAAATTGAACTGACTGATTATCTCTGAAGTCGACACCTGAAAAAACATGAATTGACGATTCCTTTCAGCTCTGGTATGAGCTAGTTGGTACAGTGATAACACAAAGGCATTCCATGCGATGGGTCCGAAGTTTTAATCCCGGACGGGATGGCTACTGTGCACTACTTTTGAGCTCTAATAAGAGCAAAACATGAGTCTAGTGCTTCCAAGTGTATGACTGACTAGAAGAGCTGAGGAATGCGAGAGAAGGTGAAGTTTGAAACACGGTCAGTTCTAATCCATCAGCAACAGTTATCTCAACACAGTACTCATAGACAACTGTGAGATAAATGCAAATTCTACGAATCATTGCCCACACCTTCCATTGCGTACTTCATTTGCACATATTCGGTGAGATCTGGGTTCAGACGGATGTGATAAATAATGCGGAAAACTTCACTTGGATTAACTTCACCCTTAAAAGACAGACTAATGAACAGGTCCTTCTCTTCCACCCTATCAGTGTGTACTTTGGGTACCTGTTCCATCATAATTCGTTGAATGAAGCGGTCGGGTTAGCCATTGCTTCTGAACACTTTGGAGATAAATTTGAGTTTATCTTCCGGTACTAATTGGGAGCAGATTATTCGAGCTCTGTAGATACCAAACATTTTATCAGGTTACTCTTTAGCTTGATCGGGACATAGCTGTAAAAATTCGTGTAATGGCCACTCCAGGTTTTCTTACGGTACACACGGTGTTGTATAGATCCATCACGTCTTCTAATGAGGAGTACATCTAGAAACGGTACTCGATCATCTGCGGTATGATTATGAGTTATTGAAAACAACTGTTTGCTTGAAATTGTGTTTTAAATGCGAGTATGGGCATATTTCGAAATTTAAAACGCTGCACAGAGCCCAACCTGGTGAAAGGACCAAATCAGTTTCTTGCGTTTTCCACGCGAATTAAAGAGACGAACAATTGTATTGAATTCATTCGTGACTGTATTCAAACGAACTGTTACCCTTGCCATTATTGGAAGGTTTTACGTCGACACCGAATTCATCTGAATGCTGAAACATTGCGGCGTAATGCCCTTAAGAAGTGTGACACTATTCGCTCTAAAGTGACAGAGTATAAAAGGAATAAATCACAGTGTCAGTATTTCATGGATTGTTCACATGAGGACTTAAAACTGGAATATCTCAATTATGCGCGTACTATAGTTCAATCAAGGAAAGAGAGAAGATTGTCCTACCTGAGGCGAACGTTGAACAAACAAATACCGAAATGCAATTTCCCAATTAACTTGAGAGGTACGTCCACAACCTATCTAGTATCAGTCTGAACCACAAAAATACAAGACAAAACACACCAGAGTGAACAACAAATCACGGGGATATTGAAATGACTCAATCAAGAGGGTTGCATAAGCAGTGAACTATATGAACGCATAGGACCTACAAGTTCATGCATTCCGAGACTATATGAGTTGCCAAAAATCTATAAAACCCAGGTTCCCCTTCGTCTTATCCTACCGATGACTAATTCTCCATACCATACTGTTGCTCAATGGTTGACTGAAATCCTTGTATCCGAAACGGTTATCGGCATATAGTGTTAAGGATACCTTCCAATTGGTTAAACCCAATGCCAAATATAGACGTATCAGATAAGGTGATAACGTTCATGGATATCACGTCACTTTTCAAAAATGTGCCATTAGTGAAAACTATTCACTTTATCATAAAACATCTTGCAGATAATGAAATTAGTTTGGGGACAACCACGGAATCGCTACGCGAACTTTTAGTTCGGTGTGCGTATAACGTTCAATTTCTTTTCAACGTACCGGTCTACCGACAAAAGGACGGAGTAGCAATGCGATCACCACTAGGACCTTTGGCGGATTTTTTCTTGGCGATGCTGGAGAATAACCAATTGAAGGACACTTTACTAGTCTTCATAAATATTGTCGGTATGTAGACGACATATTTTGTATAGCTGATTCAAACTGCGAACTGGATCATCTGCTAGAAAAGTTCAACTTCGCACAAGAGGCTATACAATTTACAAAGGAGGTAGAACCAGATGATCGAATACCGTTTCTATACCTTTTTCAATTTAAGATGTTCGAATATCATTTTAAGATGTCACAGCATCATTTAAGATATCATGTTGCAATGTCGATAGTACGACAGTGCGATTACTTCGTCGTTTCACATTGTCTTGCACTTTTGTGATGCTCTTGCTATCACATTTAGTCAGTCCATCTGTGTGGTGAAGGCACGTCTGCTGGACAGTGGAAGTTCAATGGGCTGTAAATAAGGTGTGGTTTCTCGCTCGGGTTAGCTGGGCAAGCACCAGGTCCCTTGTAGCCGCTGCACTATCTGACCGATCGATAAATGAACCCAATCAGTCGTGTGATCTACGGGCCGGCATCGGTGTACGGTGTGACCGAAACCGAAACCACAGACTGAATCATACAGCGTTGCCTCTGTCATACTGTTGTTCTGTGAACATTTACTATCATTATTATTGCTATCCTTATGTCAAGAGACTCTAATTCCATTGACACTCTAGAACGCTGTGATATTTTATGTCGTCTTGTTCTCGGTTCAGACCGTTTGTTGTTAATTCATTAGCGGAGAAGAAATCCTCCATGAACTCGTGAAACGTGCTTGACTGTAAATTCACATTGTGCATATTATCTGTATGGACAATTTTTAGTGTATCACGAATTGATTACTGTCCAGCGAACTCGTCTTCTGATTTCGCGTTACAAAATCGCGTCGCGGCCAGGATCGAAGATCCCCAAGCCGACTTCACGGAAGCTGAAAAACAGCAAATTGCCGTGTCCCAGCCCCAGCAACTCCGAGGATATGGTTGACAATCTTGTGATAAGAATACTCGCCAGCAATGCGCTCATTTTGAATCTCACCCCCCCCCCGCTGTCCACACCAGAGAAATTCACTGCAGTCTGCAACTACCCACGATGAGAACTACAAGCCCGTGCTTACATCCGAAGGTTCCCAAAGGAGGAGCAAAGTGTTACCCTGCTGAGTTTGCTGACAAGAGACGCTGCAGATCGCGCATTCCAGGTAAACGTCTTTGATGGCGACGACCTGGAGGGCACGTTCGCCCAGTTACGTGAGCTGCTGGACACGCTGCTACATCCCATCGAATATCAGACACAATTCCACGCTGCGCGCCAGGATATGGGCGAGACCACCGAAGCATACGCGTATCGTGTGAGGCAGCTGGTGGCGAAAGCGGTTCCGGGGGACACCAGCGAGGGGCAGGAGCGCAGCGCAATAGAACGCTTTGTCGAAGGAGTAGCCAACCTTTCTGTGAAGAAGAGGCTAATTACGAAACCCAAAGAAAGCTTTAACGAGATCGTGTCGCTGGCGCGGGTGACAGAAAAGCTTCAACGGGCCGTTCAAAAACCTGACGCACAATGTTGGGTCATCTCCCAACAGCAGCCGCCCCAGCGCACAAACCCATGGGCATCGAGGCCGTATCATCAACCAGTGGCCGGGCGCCCTTACCTCCGAGACGGCGGTGGATGGAGACGCTGGTCTAATACCGATGAAAGATCCGAACCGAACCATAGACAAGCGGTAAATCGAACGCCTCAGGAAGATGGAAATTCGGACGACACCAATTCGAGTGAGTCAGTTGTCCCTGCCGATTGTTTGCCCTCTGATAAAATGTTTTGCGTTGACATACACGTGGAAAGATAGATAGTCAAAGGTCTAGTAGATACGGGAGCAACAAAGTCGTTGATCAAAATCTCTATGCCGCAAGCCGTGGGCAACCCTGACATCACTCCTTTCCATGGCCGATTGTGCGGAGCGAACGGCACGGCGATCCGTGCCATCGGAACCGTTCGCCTTCGTCTTCTGATTTGGCGTTACAATAGGCGGCGGATAATCACTGAATTCAATGCTGCTTTAGTGTTGGTAGAGAATCACCACAGGAGAATCAGTTGTGAAACGATGCGCCATGTGGGAAATAAGGAATGAATAAAGCTTAAGCGATCCTTTAGGCCCTCGGATAATCCGTTGGCAGTTAAATTGTGAATCGAGCAAACGTGTCAGCACCAGAGCAATGTGCTGCAGGTGCATCGTCAGGTTCAAAATCCATATAGGAATGAATGAGTTTCAACGTTTGCAATTTACTTAAAAATACAAATTTGAATATGATAAAGTTCTGTTTAAAACTGAAAACTTCTGATCAAGTTAATGAAAAACTAAATTTATAACTAACCCCTAATTCCAAATGGATTCAGAGGGTCCACATCTCCTGGATTCTACACTTAATAATTTAGGAATTTACTAAAAAATGTGCCCCTGGAGGCACAAGAGTGATGTCTCTTTCGCCACCGAATACAAAGCAATCGAGCGGTATTTCACTGCTCTCAAATCATCCTCTTAAGGGACGCTTTTAACTTTAAAAGTTTAGATAAAATTTACTCACAACCCTACCCAACTGTCGGAAAAGAGTCTGTGCGACTGCTGAGCATAAGAAAAACTACACCGAAATTCTACCTCATATACACAGCTTCAGCCCTGAAAATGGTTCAAACTATTGTCCTAAAGAAAATACAGATTGTCAATTGCGTAATAATTCAGGATACCAGTCGGCAACGATACGAGTTTGGCTCTGAGATTTTCATGGTCTCTGGGGATATTATTCAAAATAACAAACTGCTTTCTCGGCCAAAAGGCAACAACAACTTCCTTGAGTGAACCGTGACTTAATGCCCCATGCAACAAAATACTGAATTCTCTAGAACAGGCTTCTTTAGTTGTAAAATCGATTTCCCATTGGATTGTTTGTTTAATTCTACCCATCTAAAAGGGCATAAATTATTCGCCCCTTGAAACAGTTTTGAGTGAATCGGCAATTCCACAGTCAAAAGAAATAACGTTTCTCCATATTTTGATTTTCTGAACTGTTTAGAGTAGTTATATCTCTGAGTCCGCAATAAATTTAATAATTCATTCATTAGAGTAAGGTCTGAACAACCCTTAGAGAGATTATTCTTACAGCCGCATCTCTAAAGATAAATCTTTGACTAGTGATTGTTTTGTAGCAATAGGTTTCACTCAAAGCGCTTTTAACTTTGGTAGAAAAAGCAGTTCACTTACATTTATTTGCTGCTAAACCGCCGAGACCATGGAAATCTCAAGGTCGAATTTGTACCCTCGCAGCCTGGAAGCCTCAATTGTAACGTGATTGAAAATGAATTCACTGTACTCAAAAGAGAACAGAATTTGGTCACAGTCTCCGCCTATATTTTTTCACGCCCATTTTATGAGAAATACAAACTTGACTTTAAATAAAACCACTTCCACGAATCAAATGTCATCTAGGGACATTGGACGACGGTGGGGGATTTAGAGTGCACAAGATATGAAAATAATCTGTATCACTCAACTCTATTACCATAATTTCAACGATGTTAACGTGAGTATAGGATTATCAAAAACAAAAACAGCGCTTTCATAAACCACTTTATATGAACTTACCCGAATGTCTCAGTACGTAAATGAAAAAATAAAGTTAACCAAGCGTTGGTGTCATGCATGAAACACTTTCGGGAAGCATTAATGTGACAGACTCAGGCTGATAATGTTTCCTTCATTAGTCTCCCTTTTGATCTTTCCATTTGCGATGCAAGTTTTTTTAATTCTCGTTCAGCTCCGTTTTCCAAAAACTCATTGTCCAATCGGATTTATGGAATCTAGACCAATCAAATCTCTCGGGCTACAATTTTACCCCGAAAAATACCACTTTACGCATTTGAGTTTTTGAATTGTCCTGTTTTCCCCCAAGCAAATATTCGGAATGCCACCTGAAGGGTTGTGGGTGATGATGGTTAAGATACTCTTGTGCGTAGAGGCTATGTTGGATATTTGGGATCTTTATTACGTCAGTGCATTATTCTAAACTTTTAATCATCAACGGTTTGACTGCAAAGGAAATTTTGCCTTTCTGATCGATTCGGAGCGAGGTATAAGCTATGGATAGAACGAATAACAAGAGAAAAAAATGAAAACGTTTGCCACTAATATCGTTTCTGGAGATGCATCGGTCAACCAGTAGTTTTGCTGTTAACAGCCTTCTACAGGATTGCATATTTATCGTATTCAGCAACGAAATGCAACAACATTCGTGGTTTGAGGTACTCAAATCAGCATCTGGGTTGATTCAAACATAAATCCTCTGTTCTTCAAATACGGTTATTGGACTCTGCGAAGGTGAAACGGTATAATGGAGCTGTACCATCATTTCCATGATTTGTTGTGCCAGAGGTAATATGCAGATAGGAATTTATAAGCTCACTGATCTGTTATCTTAACCCTCCAAATGGTGACAACGGTTTCAACTTCAAACTATCTCATCGTCTACATAAATTTACCAAATATTGTCTAGGAGATGCGCTGTGAAATACAGACTGAAAGCATCTCCTTTCGTGGATGCAAGATCGGACGTGGGTTCCTTGATCATAAACCTCCCTGTTAATCCGATTTTGATTGGGTTGGTGGTGGTAGTGGTGGTGGTGGAGGTGATGGTCAAATGGTTCTCAATTCTGTACATTCTGGAGTTGGGTCCGAGAAACTAACCCTACACTGTCTCCGAAATTATGCGGTAGCTAGGTTTTCTGTTCTCTCGTCCAATAACAAGCGTATATTGATTGAGGTCCCGCGTGGTCTGCTATGACAAGTCACGAGTTTTAGGGAGTCGGGTACCATAATCATGTGCCGCGAATCGGGGTCGACCTATTCTATTCCTCTTAACTCAAGTTTCCATGACTGTTTGTGTGGGAGTGGAAAATAGACTTTCAGATGCACACGTAAACTGATAGTTCCCTTTCAGGATCAGGACTCTCTTTTTGAAAGCACCGACGTGGGTTTCAATTATGTTGTTTTGTATCCGTCTTGATGATCGGTATTCTTGTAATCATCAATTCTGTACTTCTATTGTTTATATGCAAGTTTCCCTCAAACGTTTTGCTCAACTGTGTTTTCATTGTGACGCAAAAAATTGACTATGCACACATACTCGTTTACCAGGAATGTTTGAATTTGGTGAATTTGGGGTCCACTTTAACTTTTACCGCGCCCTCCTCAGAACCCGTGTCAGGTACTTCACAGGGGAGATTTTGTACACATTGCTACTGGGCCTACATGGAAAGTCCGAGTAGTTGGACGATTGGGGGTATTTCCAATTTGATAGGCCTTTGAGAGCTGAATAATCTTGGTTAAGTTTTTACCAAGGGAAAACAGATTTTGTCGGAACTGAAACCACAGTTGTGATACACCTCAAATGCGAATTATCGGATGAAGGATGATCGTATTCGGCTTCGCATTCATATATCTCAGAATGAAGTTCTATTTGTTGTATTCTCACTCCAAACTAAATGCACATTTGTCCCCATTGCCAGAACTCAGAAGTCTGTATTACCTTCGGATTGTTCTGTTTTATGGAACAAATGGGGTTAATTGATACGAAAACCGGAGCAGTCCGTTCCCATGAAACACGATAATCAATAGCGGTTGCCATCGCAACAACAGCTGGGTGTCCATCACATTTCACCAGTACGATAAAAAACGGTTTCGAAAGAAAAAAATACATGCACCAGATTTCCACAACATTTTCGTCTCACCTCAGGCGAGGTCATGACGAGAGCAGTTCATGTGAGCCAATCAGTGCCCCACAGTCCCCTGTGGATCGGGTTACCACAATACTATAATTTTCATTGATCATTGATACTTGTATTNTCAAACGAAATGTGTACCGTGACCACAGAATTGAGACGTTTAACTGATTTGATTGACGGTGCAAACCTGGCGAACTAACTATCCTGTTCAGCGAGTGTACATAAATTGCAATAAAACTTTCCCTGTACCAGAAAAGCAATGAAATCGAAGGGAATTTTATCGAAGAAACATTTTTTAGAGATTGAGAAAACTCTATAGAAAGGACAATACTGTCCGTTTGAGGCCACATTTTGAACCGCCGTGTTTACGGTGAGAAAATGAAAAAAGATGATCACGCGCGCCCGTTGATTGGCTGCGCTACATATTTTCCTTCTCTAATTCATTTTGATCTGTCGTAATCACTACATAATGACTGTTTCAAAGGTTTATTCGCAATCACAGTTACTTGGTTATGATCCTTACTTGCACAATACCGTGTCTTTTATTTCCTCGTTGACCGATTTTCGGATTCCAACTCAAAAGAAAATAACGCGAGCGCGGCGGCTGATAATCAGAACTTAGTTTCACACTCCCATCAAAAATGACTGTGCCCTCATTGGTTAGCAAAAACATCAGATCATATTTCGCGAAGGCAACGGATTTAACGTACAACCCCGATTCACGCATCCCGATCCAAATGACAAGGACCCATTAGTTGAACTCACGGGTTTTTAATGCTTCCGTAATGCTATAATGTACAGTAAGAAGAAAACGGGAAACTGAGCGATCATTAATCTCAGCTGCTCCTGGAGCGTCAAATCTGGGGTTCTTTTCATTACTCCGGTGATAACCTCAACTGTTTCATCATTTAGTGTTTTCTACATTTTTGCGATATAGAAATACCATGATCACCTTTATATTAATAGGTCCCATTTTGTACTCAGCCTCACGTCTCATCCTTCTTTAATGGATTTATGTCATCTTTTGCTGCATCTTTCGACGACAGTCTCCACATTGTTGGTGGTGGCCTTATT